ACAAATTGACAGACGGACAAGCTTAAATTTCGATTTCGAATTTGATGCTGATCATAATTATATATTTATGGGCTAACAAGCCAAACCTACCCCCCTCTCCCCTTCCTGTTTAATAACTTTATTACACTGGCTTCAGTTATTGACGAATTATCAATTATGCGGCAACTTTCTGACTCAAACTTGTTCTCCATGATCTCACATGGTCTTTGGCATTTAGTCAATGAACCGACAGTTGAAAAACAAATCAATTTCGAGTTCTACTAATCAAGAACAGATATTTTTGACAGGTTGCTGCAAAGCGTTTTTTTTTTTGTGCTACAAAACGAGGCTGATAACTGATAACTGACAACTGAGGGCTGTTTCCGAATATTTTTTACCCACCGTCTTCATATTAAAAACAATCTCAAAGCAAAAGGAAAATTTTAAATTTCGAAATTTTATAAAATTAATAATAAATACTTTTCCCAGATTCGAAGAATACTACCATACTTTAATTTTTGTAGTCGGGAAGATGTCTACCGCGGATAAATAAGTGGACGGATCGACCGACAAATGCCGAAGGAGCAGATAAGCAAGCATAAGATGCATAAGGTCCCCGCAGTTTCCTTCTGGATGTGAAAAACGATTTAACAAAATTAATATGTCCCCCCAATCTCTGAGTGTTGGGTACAAAAAAAAAAAACATTAATTTATTGCTAATAAATTTTACAACCAACAAAAAGCAAAGACAGCATTACGACATTTATTTAACAAGTTATAGTAATCGAAACGTTACAATGATAAAAAGAGAAAATAAGTATATATTTTACTGGTATGATAAACCATAAAAAAATCGTTAAGAGATATATGTTTGTACACACAAACAAACACACATAATATATATATATATATATATAAAAACGCATATAGCATACAAAAGTAAGGAAAGCATAGCGCACTCAGAAACAAATTAGGGAATACACACATCTGTGCTCATATATTTATGAATGTATTCTAAAAGAACACCAACACGAGTTATCAATGCGGGGAAGTGATGTTTTTTTTTTTTTTTTTTTTTTTTGCAGCACTTGCCCTGCACAAAAAGAAAAGGGAATATGTGAAAATATAAAAGAATATATTTTTCATTTGCTAGGGTGTATACTGCTTACATATCTGCATAAAAACAAATAGATTATGATGTTGTATGGAAAACGTTACAAAGAAGAAAAGCAGTAGGCAAAGCAGTATCACATAAAATTTCAAAATAATTTAATGAAAGTAGGTAGTAACAGAGTGAGGGAACGCGCGACGATAAACGATAAAAAAGACTGTGACGTTAGACGTCACTTAATACTGAGATAATAGACAGTGGGCTCAAGTCAAGTAAACATATTATTTGAATACTCAATCAAATATAATTATAGAATAAAATTAATGCTAGCATCTATGCGTCTTAGACGTTTATGAAATCATTAAACGTTTGTCTGAAAAAGTCCAAGAAATGAAAATTCACATCAAAGTGTTTGACAAACGCTTGACACTTATTTTTTTTATTTATTTTTTTTTTTTTGTATACAAGACCAGTTGAACATTATTGGATTCGATGATTTTTTTGCCGGTTTTTTTTTTGCCTTGCGGCCCTTACAACACTTATACCGAAAAGGTCTGTCAATAAAAATGTTATAAGATTTGAATAAAATTTCTTTTTAATGTGTCCGTCAAAAAGAGAAATTTCAGCAAAAAATGGAATATAGTATATAGATAATGGCATATATAGCAATATCAAATCGTAGCAGATAGTATCAAAAAGAACTCTAGAAATAAATAAATGATCTGAAATACACATACATGCATGCGTGCATATTTATACACAAATATAATAATAAATGAACAGATAAAATACAAACAAATAAGCAAACTTACCTACATACATAGATCCGTACATACATACATACCCATGTATTCATGCGTACATGCGAACACGTGTTTATTTATCTACATTAACAAATACGTTTGTTTGTTTATTGATATGTTTTTGTATATGTATATAAGTGTGAATGTATGCATACATATGCGCATGTATTTTGAAATATACATAATTCAAAAGAACTGAAAAATGTTGCTTTCGGATTTAATTGAGCGATAAAGACAATAATTACAATTGTGGTAATAACTTGTTTCTAGTCCAACTTGTCAGCTGTAGCAACCGATACAAATGTATCTTGAAGAAGTGTAGCCTAGTGTTGGCCAGCCGGGATTGTACGGTTGATGCAATAGGAAGCGTGACTATGTCGCGTAAAATAAAGCCAAAGGCTTTATTGGCTGAATTTAAGCTCCAGAGGGATCAGGAGCCTACTTAGATTGATGCTTGCCAGGATCCTTCGGGTGTAAGCTTGCACATACAAGTTTATTATATTATATAATATATAATTATATTAATTCTATAGAAAAGTTTTTGAGAGATACGACAAATACGAGAAATCAAAGAATTTGATGCTTTTGCTTGAGAAATATATTGAAAAAATGTCTAGTGTATCTTAGTTAGTTAGTCCAGTACATCTTAGCAAGCAAAAATGTTAAAGTAAAAAAAAATGTTAATTTATCTCTTAATTATAAAACCTAACGAATCTCTCTCTCTCTCTATTAGGCACACAATGTTGTTACTTTTGCTACTGGATATGGCCGTAATCAACGACTTCATCTTTTTCATTCCATAGGACGGCATAACAGCATTAGCTAGTGTTAATGTTTTCATAATGAATTTCTAGTTCCAAGTTTTCTCTTTTCACGAAACGATTGAGTCGTCGCATACATCTCATATATATCTCGTACTTTACTTCTTTTTTTTTATACGATTACTCCAATTATTACTTTCTACGAAACTCAACTTTTCTTACTACTAAGCAACTTTTCTCAAATTGTCTGTTGAGGCCCCAACAGTGTTTTTTTGAGTAAAGTTTAATGTTTAACTAATAATGATAAGGAAAAAAAGAATTTGCAAAACTTTAGCTCTCTTTATAATCCTTTGGATTCCATTAAAAGTAATTTCACATTTATTATGCGGTAAAATGACAGTAAGCAGAAAATCTATTATTGTAGTTGGTTTGCTTATGAATGGAAGTTTCTTAGTAGCGGAAATTTTCAAATTTAGGCTCCTTCACAGTTTTTCTGAACCTTTTCGCACCTTTCCTTTCCCTCTTTTGTATGTTTTTTAATATATATATATATATATAAAGAGACGTGTCTTTTCTTTGCAGAGTACTGATGCCAAGTGTCTTAGAAGCAATATAGTCATCATAAAGGCGAAACGAATTAGTTGTGATTGCCACCTTTACGTCGAACCAATGAAATTCTTCAAGTCAGATCACATAAGATGGTGAGTTAAAATTTAAAACAAATAATCTTTAGTGGATAATAGCCTTTCCTGAACCGCATCTGCCAGGGCAATGCAAAATTAAAGTGCAAACGCAAAATATGATTAATACCCTCAAGTGTAAACGTACGTTCCCTAGAAGAATATATATATATATAACTTTTGACAACAGATAGAAGGAAAAGCTCATTTCAGTTTTTTAGATATTCCCAAGGACCTGCACGAATAATTTCGGAATGATTGTCTTTTTTTGATTAACAAAGTAACCTTTTCATTGAAGTACTCCCACCCGATCATAAATATATGAATATTTTTACATTCCCTCGTGTTACATTAAATATAGATTCCCTGAAGTTCATTTTTTTTTAATACTTGTCCGTTTTATTGCTTTTTTTTTTAAATACTTGAAAATTCCTAATGATTTGCACGAATATTATTATTCTTATTGTATTACCTCTCATCCCGTCCGATAAATACAGTTACAAACACTTTTTAGACCATTACAGTAGTCTTCCTCCGTAAGTTATTGGGTAAGTCTTTCGTTATAGTAAAAATGCATTCAATAAATTTGCCCAAATTTGCTTAATATCGGCCAACTGTTCCCACTTCTATTCATATACCAACACATTTGGTAAAAATTAACGCTGATATTGTTCTCGCTTACAGCTAATGCAAAAATATATATATATAATACACTCAAACCTGTTTTTGTGCGGTCTTTTTTTATGCGCTTTTTTTTGTGCGATTCTTTTTGTGCGATTCTTTTTTTGTGCGGTATATGAATATCGACACATTGAATTTCGCCGAGAGGTTAGATCAATCTGAACTGTGTTGGCATCACTTTTTTTGCTATCAGTGTGTATGTACACATTGCAACAGCCATTTTCATACCTTTTGCATCAGCCTATTTCATATGCGCGTTTTGAACTACGACGAGTAGTATTGAATTATGTACATTTTGAAAATTTCTCCTTGTTTAAAATTAGAAATTAAAATTTTTTTAAATGTTTCAATGTGTAATTTAATTATTTATTTTGTTTGGAAAGCACTTTCTTCCTATTTCGTGAAGCTTTGACATATTTTCTAAGTGAGACTTTTTTTATGCGGTCCCTCTCTACCGCATAAAAAAAATTTTCTTTAATATGCTGTGAAAAATTATTTCTTATAGCTATTTATGAAGTTTTTGAATATTTTTTTTTGTGCGGTTTTTTTTCTGCGGTCCCTATCTACCGCACAAAAACAGGTTTGACTGTAATGCAAATAAAGAAAGGATAACACGAGTGTATACCTGAAAATGCAGTGAAGAGAAAAATGGCTAAGCAAAATTCCAAAAATTTATTACAAAGGTCAAATAACTAATAAAATTAGTTCGCCTGAAAACTAATAAGTATCGATGACATGGAAATTTTCCAAAATATTGCAAATTAATAAAAATAAAATTAAGAGAAATAAATATTTAGTGCATTACCTGCAGATTTTAAAATCAAAACCCAATGCAGCTGTCGATTGACGAAAAGATTAGCAAAACTTCCCGAAAAACATTCCCAACATTTATAACACTTTAGACTTTAATATGCTATACACGGCTTGCTGCAATATGTTTATAAGCAAAGAATTTCGTCAAAACGTGTTAGTTGCATCGTAGAAGTTGAACGCAGAAGTTGAGAAAAAGAATCGCTGAACATCCAAAAAAAAAGAAACAAAAGCAAATTTATCTTATAACAGCCATAAATAAAACTATTTAAAGTCGCTTGCAAGAGTTTTTTTTAAGTCGAAAGAACTTTCAAAAGGAACATCAACTAATCAGTGGTGAAAAATGCCTGACATTCGCTTGGAGTCGTCCGATAACGAAACATTCATTGTTGATATACAAGTTGCAAAATGTTCAGATACTATTAAAACCATGCTGAAAGACCATGAAATATACGACTGTAAGACTAGTATACCTTTGCCAAATGTAAATTCGGCAATATTACGAAAGATATTGGAATGGGCGTGTTATCACAAGGAACATGTGTCTACTGACAAACAGAAGCCAACTGATATGTTGGCATGGGAGGCTGACTTTCTTAACATATGCCAAGTCGATCTATGCGAACTGATTTCAGCTGCAAACTATCTGAATGTGGGCGATTTGTTAGATGCTGCTTACGAAAAAGTGAAAAAAATGTTGGGAGGAGACAAAATACCAAAAGAAATCCGTGAAATGTTAAGAATAAGAGAGGATTCTTACGAAGAGTTGCGTTTAGAGAAAATGCCTTACATTCATTTCGAGTCGTCCGATAACGAAATTTTCATTGTTGATAAACAAGTTGGAAAACATGCGGGTTTTGGTGTAACGATGTGGGAATGCGAGTGGATGAAAGGACTTGAGAATATTGATGTGCTTGCGCCAAATGTAAATTCGGCCATATTACGAAAGGTATTGCAATGGGCTTGCTATCACAAGGAACATGCGTATGAAGGCTTCGAGGAGCCAGCTGATATGTTGGCATGGGAGGCTGACTTTCTTAACATATGCCAAGTAGATCTATTCGAACTGATTTCAGGTGCAAACGCTTTGAATGTGGGCGATTTGTTTTATGCTGCTTGCGAAAAAATGGACAAAATGTTGGGTGGCAAGATGCCAGAAGAAATACGTGAAATGTTAAGAACTAGAGAGGAACAAGAAGCGGCCGAAGCGGAGTGGTTAGAAGAAATAAGCCAACCTGAGCCAATTTGGTAGTGAACTCTATTTCCGTTTATTGGGAATAAGTTTCATTAAAATGATGCATTTTTCACACTTGAATTTTGCTAATCACGGGGAAGCAGGGAATCATCTGCTCTCTCTCTCTCTCTCTCTCTCAGTTTTTGAAATAAAAATAAAGTAAATGTGAAATGCAACAAAATGTTTATTTGTTCATTAGTCAGCTAAAAAGTATCAGTTAAATGGATTGATTGATGAAGTGATTGTCAATTGGCAAGCACCTGCTGTTAATTCAAGATATTTAGACACTGTGCACTTTTAATATTATATCCGTGATAAAAAAAGGACCAGGACTTTACTCTCCCTTTTCTCGTGAGTCAGGCTAAGAAACCGTAAGTAATCGTGAAGTAAAAAATTGTTTTTCATTTGTGTACCTATTGTCAAGAAGAAGAAAACGCAGTTTATTTGCTCTTCAGCCAGCTGGGCTGGCGATGAACTCATGAACATATCTCAACATATCGCAACAACACAAATTCAAGATTTTTTTTTTTGCTTCGCCTCGCGTCATCATAAGTATTTTGCATAAGTGAGAACTGCAAGATATTGTTCGAACTTCGAGTGCAAATTAAATTAATGCATTGCTACACAATGTTATAACGCCCTAAAGTCATATTGATCGTTAAAGTTATTTTCAAATTATTTGCATCACCCTTCCGCGACATTATAATGAGGTGATAATTAATGCAACTTATCGGCACTTCTATCAATAGCATGAACATTGTCGATACTCGCGATTGGCAATATTACGGTTATTGGCACTTTTTAGTGCTTTTTCTTGTTACGATCTCATTGCAGTGACACATAAGCCCGCACACACACACACACACACACACACACACACACACACACACACAACATTTGCGCTTTTATAAAAACGCAATGTTTTTATTACATTTTCTACAATCTTTGGTTTTATTGCTATCTTCTGGCAAAGCAATCGCTACTACTACTACTGCTGTGCCACTAATTTATGTGAATATAAACGAATTGTAAACATTTGTTCGAAAATTCAAATCAACTGAAAGTAATTGTTCATCATCGTACGGTACATGATTTTAAACTTGCGTTTAACATTTTAACTTCAATTAGTTTGTTTTTTAATTCAGTTTTCTATAAAAAGTATGACTGGCTTTGAAGTAAATGTTTATGTTGATGCTTTCGCCACTGCATACTTTTTTTTTTTTTTTTTTTTTTAGATTTCAGTGCAGAGCAAGAAGAAAATATATATCGCTCGATTGTTTTATCATGAGATGGAATTGTGTTGCAAGATGCACAAATTTTTATTGTTCGATTGCTTTTAAGAGTGACGTGAATTATGCAAAGTGTAACTTAAAAAGCAATGATAGAAAATTGTTTGAATTATCAGGTTGGCAAGGATGACACTTGTAGTTTACAATTTTGGTAAGCTTTGACAGCTTGTTAGTTGACAATGACTTATATATTTACGGTTCGGTTCGGTTTTTTTTTTTTTTTTTTTTTTTTTTTTTCTGTTAAGAAGTGATACATGTTGGCCGAAGAAGTAAGTAAATTATTCCAAGCTCTATTATTCAACTTTTCTGAAAACGTTTTTAAATTCGTACTGTCATGATGTATGAGTGGAATTACGAGAAACTACGGGATCGCAAACCGAGCGAAACACAAATAGTGTATGTGCTTCTGCGCAGTAGACAGCCTCAAATTAGTTTACCAAATGTTGCATTAGTGACTTTAACCTCCAAACAAATGATCCACGCTTTCGCTCATAATCAACGGCCAATAATGACGTAGTGAAAGTCGTCGTTGAGTCATTGAGACCCATTTCAAAATAAAATGCTTATAAGTTATCATTAAAATTCGATATTAGCAAACAAGCAATATTCATTCATCAAGGTCAAATTCCCCATCCAACAACAAGGCAATTTACTTTGATCAATGAATTAAATTTTTTTTTTTTTCTTACTTAATTCCAAATATTATTGACCGATGTATTAAATGAAAGTTTTCAATCACGCGGTTCATAGTCAACTACTGTTGAATAGTCTCTACCAACATAACAATATAATTGGATTTTTTTTTTTTTTTTGTTTTTTTCATTTTAATGTGTAGGCGAGACTTTTCATATATAGTCTTCAGTCTTCAATCTGTTATTTAAAATGCAGTCAAACATGAGTCGTTAATAAAAATGCTATTCAAAGCATTGATCTTTTGATGACGTTCTTCTCTTTATTATCTATTCATTCATTCATAACGATTCGTTCTTCATTCCTTTAACACAATAATAAGTAAGCACATCTTATACATATTGCTTTCCTTCATACACATACTTCATGGAAATATCTCAAGCAAGTGTCTTTATAACCAATTTAATATCCATACCATTTTACCATAATTCTATTCAATTTTTATCATACAACATACACACATATACGCAGACATGTACATACAATATAAGGTCTTAAGGCTTCGCATAAGTCTTATGCATCGTTAGCTAGTGTACTTGTCTGCTTTATATCCTCTACGCCATCGCAGCATTCTTCTGTGATAAATTAATGCATTCACCTTGCGTGATTAAAGAGAGATAACTGCTTATCTTACGTTCACAATGTCTATATGCCATACTATGATTTCTAACCTGTTCTTTTACTATAGAATTTCTACAAAAACTCTATTCATTGTATACAGAGATTAAACATCTAAAATGACTATTTAACGAAAGATACATCTTCTAAGCTAATTGTTAGATATAGGTATTCTTTAATAGAAACAAATAATGCTTTCTAATTACATTCGTCTACATCATGGATTATTTATTATTATGATTAAAATGCTAAAGTAAACTGAGAGATAAACTAATAAGAAAACGGGAATCTTAAGGGAATCTTTCGCTAAATAAAGATATTATAATAAAGTTGAAATTGTGTTTTTAATTAAACAGTTCCAAAAATTACTTACTGTCCTCTCTCCTCGCTTTCTCCTAAAAATCTCTGGTTCAATTAGTACCGTTCAGTGAACTTCATTGAAAATAGAAAAAGTGAAAAATATTCGAGCAAAAGTCGAGCATTATCTATATGCTCGCAATCCAAGTTTTCCCCTAACCATATTCCTTTCCGACCGCCAACGTGTACATACGTACAACGAATATCTCCTGAATGACTGATCAAAAGGCGAAAAAATAAAGAAAAAGATCTTAACACGGTCCGTACATGTCTATTATCAAAGCGAACTGAAGCGTCTGAAAGAATTAGACTACAAAAAAGAAATCGCTTAAATGCGATACGCAACTCTCTAGAAACAAATGCAAATTGCTCGTCGTATCTAGGCAGCAGATAATTTTAGCAACATTGTGTAAAAGAAATCGCGATCAAAGTGTATGAAAGGCTCACAATCTCCAGCAAAGACAAGCGAACGACCAGGAAGACCCTACTGGTGTTTAGTTCAATCTCAAAGATTTCACAATAGATTTGAATCTTGATCTCCGATAATTAAAAAAAACTGTATCTAGCAATAGGAAGAAAGCTCTGAAGTGAAAGACAGGAAAAATGCCTTACATACTTACATACGTACGTTTTTCACGGAAGACGCGCTATGGAAGAAAATGGAACTGGTTAAGATTTCTACTTGTTTCCTTAGTTCTTTAATTTGCAAAAAATACACACCCACTTTCCGACCAGATCAGTCAAATCAGTATCGCAACCATCAAGTCCCTGTTTGCCGGTTCAAATTTCTATGCGATTTAACCGAATTTTGTCGTAGCTATAGTGATTGCTCAGATGGGAAAAGCAGAATGCATACTGATTGGGCGCACACTCAACAACCATTGGTCACTCCTTAACCCTTTTCCTCTTTCCCAACTTCTTCCTGACTGGTCCGTGTCACACCTACAGGGGACATTCGCTGATTGGTCATATTAAGAAAACAAAAAAAAAAAACAAAACTTCACCTTTCGTTCTTAACCGCCTCAAGGATGGGGTCATATTCACTTGGTCCAAACAGTTGTAATAATCCTAAATAAATTTCAGATACGTCTGCCCTTACGCCTTTCTGTCTACGATCAATATTCTCTCAATCGCAAAACTGAAGATTTGTTTAAAAATTTTTCAAGTTCTTGCACGCAGGTTACCCTCTATCAAAGCATATCCCTCAAGAAAAATATTAAAACAAAAGCTTAAGTTATCTCCAAAAAAAATTTGCTAAATTATAAAACAAAAGAAACAAGGATAAAATTGTTTGCCTATATTCTATATTCTATAAATGATCCCAATGGAAAAATTGGTCTTACCCATCTAAAGCTGATTAAAACTTGCAAAAAAGCAATTTGAACTACGCAGATAAATAGATATTTAGTCTCACGCTAATCGCATATATAGATGTATCACACAGATGTATTTACCAAAACTGAAATACTTGCACACTTAGGAAGAAATTCATTTGGATACAAAAAACCTTATGACATAAATTTGCGTGTTTACCCTATGGTCCAACTTTAGTTAAATGCCATTGACTTATTCTATATTCGGTTTTTTTATCTATCCCTATAATATATATTTAAAGTGTTATTACTACTTTAATTGGCGCCTAAAATTAATGCCAGTTTGAATGAATGAGAAGAACAAGAGCATTAGGAAAGGAATTCAAAATGAACTGTAATCACTTTAAGAGAAGATTCCATGATATCACAACGGGACTGTTATTAAAACTATTGTAACGCTCAGTGTTTTCGTTGCTCATATTTATTTAAGACGGAAGTTTATCTGTTAACTATCAAGAAAAATTCAAAATTATTATCATAAATATGTACAAAAATATTTCATAACAACAAATAGCTTCCGTCGTTGTTCGTATCGTTTCAATAAAAAGCATTGCGGGTATACTTTGATGATGATGATGATGTAGAAATTCTGTGCATATATGCATTTGCCTTATATTCATAAAAGAGATAAGGACTTTTAGGGATTATAAAGAACAGCAATGAAACTAAGCAGCCATAAGTATCCATAGGCGGGAAAAATCTCAGCACAGCAAATATTTACTTGTTTTCTTTTCTTTTCGGTTGATTACAGACCACCGTTCTAATGCTAATTAACGTTTTTTCAATTACATGCCTTTACATAATTC